GTAAACACACTGGACTGACTGAAAATGAAACCATTATTTTCATGCAAGCTGTGTGTGTCACAGCCAGGGGATGCATGGCTAGGGCAGTATAAACAGAAACAAAAGTGATTTAACTCCTAAATGATAGAGAATTGAGCAATGAGATTGCAGGGGCATGAGCTAAAGTTGTTTTGGTGCTTAGAATATACCTTTAAGCCTGCATTATATTGTTTGAACAGTATATGGAAAAAACAGTCCATTATATTCTTCAATATGCATGCAGTAGAGTGGTTTTTTTTTTATTATTTTTTTATTTTAGACAACAAATATTATTCATTGAAAATATTTCTTTGTATTATTAAGAAAAAGGTAATTTATTTAAAATTAAACAAAATTCTATTTGTAGACTGTTTGATTTATTTTTTTTAGACTAGTAAGAAAATTCAAAGCACAGGTCATCTATTATGTTTCAAAGGTTGTAATTCTTCTTTTGATCTTTTCATTGATTATCTGAAGCAGACATATTATCATGTCGGTTACCAGTATAGTTAACATTTTCTATTTAGTGGGAGTGAAAAGCACCCTGGTGCCTGATTATAGTCATTACTGTAATGACTGTTCATACCCAATGCTCTGCTGATGAGTAAAATCATAGCATAGTCGCTGCAAAACAAACAGAGCTTAGTGTGAGTTGACAGACTACCGCGCGGTGGCATTGTGTAACCACAGCGGGGCACTTGACAACTGCCATGGCCACCTATGGATCACTACCTGTCATATTCTGTTTCCTGAAATTCACATGCTGCATATAAAACAGATTCAGGACGTTGGAAGACATTTTAATCATAAACCAATTTACAGCTATAAATGAATGTGATATGAATAATATTTCTATGATATCTGAGGTACTGTAATTATGGTGACTTTGCTGCTTGCATATGGGTTTTTTTTCCCCACCCACGTTAATGCTTAGTGATAAACAGTTATTTTTCCTAGCCAGATGGGTTTGGTGTTTTCTTAGCATAATCTATATTCCCCTTATGTCAACAAATATGACAAGTTTATTGTTTTGCAATATTCCAGCATTTTGTACTTAATCTATATAAACCCTTATGCAACTCTACTAATCACTAGGCATGTTAGCGATCAAAGTTCTTTAACAGCACTGTTATTGGCAAATGCAAATATTGTATTTCTCAAACTGTGTACTTTGTCTTTAAGAGATATTGCAAACTGACAAGGTGTTAGACATGGAATACATTGTTTTTCATACATGTTTCTTTAAGCAATAACCTCTTACTTACTTTCAGTGCATAATATGTTTACACCATTTTGTCCCAGATGAAATACAATAACAATAATGCATAAACAAGCTTAAAGGCTATGATACGACTCTTTCAGTACACAATATACTGTGGTAACCCTAAGTAGATAAAGATGTTCAGACTTTAAGATGCCATCTTGACCTAAGTCAGGTAATTTCCATGACTTGTACACCCTTTAGTTATGGCCTTGTATTTTTGTCAAGTTAAGGGAGGTCCTAAAATGAATAAAAGTAAAAGAAGTTATTTTTCATATATGAACTACTGTGACCTTAAAATGAAGACACCCAAGGTATAAATAGGTGTACTTTTAGATGTTAAGACACAGAGGAGAGATTTGGAGACAGATGCTGCTCCATTTTAAAATGACACAGAGTCTGACATTGTTATGGGCAAATGCAAATATTACAAGTTTTAGAATGAAATGTTGTATTTCTTAAACTGTGTACTTTGTCTTTAAGAGATATTGCAAACTGACATGGTGTTAGAAATGGAACATATTGTTTTTCATAACTGTTTCTTTAAGCAATAACCTCAGTGCAGAATATGTTTGCGCCATTTTGTCCCAGACGAAATACAATAATGCATAAACAAGCTTCAAGGCTATGCTACGACTCTTTCAGTACACAATATACTGTGGTAACCTTAAGTAGATAAGGATGTCCAGACTTTAAGATGCCATCTTGAACTAAGTCAGGAAAATTTCCATGACGTATGCACCCTTTAGTTATGGCCTTGTATGTTTGCCAAGTTAAGGGAGGTCCTAAAATGAATAAAGTAAAAAAGGTATTTTTTTTTTTATATATGAACTATGGTAACCCTAAAATGGAGACACCTAAGGTATAAATAGGTGTACTTTTAAATGTTAAGATACAGAGGAGAGACTTGGAGACAGACGCTGCTCCATCTTAAAATGACAGAGAGGCTGACATGATGACATGCTCAGAAGGGTATGTTAACCTATTAATGATATTTGCAAGCATGTAATATAATCTTATAAACTCTGCTATAATGGATTTTATATTTTTATATAATAAATATCCAAAAGACAATCTTGCTTCCAAGACAATCCTTATTTTATATTGTATTCTCAATTATTTATATATGTTAAATAGAGGATCTCTTACACTATATAAAATTATGGCTAAGATATCTGTATGGTTAGCCCTACTAAGTTCTATGCTTTAAGACATTATAGTGGTAAATAAGGGAACCACACACGGTGACATGTTCAGGAGGGTATGTTAATCTATTATTGATATTTGCAAGCATTTAGTTTAATCTTATAAACTCTTCTATAAATTATTGTAATGGATTTTATATGTCTATATTTATATTTTTATATAATAAATATCTAAAAAGACAACACTTTATTGTTTCCAAAGCAATCCTTATTATATATTGTATTCTCAATTATTTATATATTTTAAATAGATGATCTCTTTCTAACTATATAATATTACGTGTAAGATATCTGTATGGTTAGCCCCGCTAAGTTCTATGCTTTAAGATCTTATAGTGGTAAATAAGGGAACCAGCCACGGTTACAGTACCATATTCATCATGTATAGAAGTTCTTTGTAAAAATAAAGACTATGTAAAATTTGATAGGGGATGGAGTTCCCTAGAGAAATTCTTTAGGTGAGAAGTAGATATATGTTGTGAGCAGAGGATAGGAGAAGAACACTAAAAAAAATCTTTATTTAGTGAAGAAATCTAATATGGGTTAGAATTTTAAACATCTGAATTTAATTCTAGAAGGTATTTAAAATCAATGTAGTGATTGTAAAAAAACAAGACTTAAGAGAGGAGCAACAAGAAAGGAAAGAAAGTAAAATAAGTCTGATTTTGACATTTCTTATGGACTACATTGGCGTTATTAGGTTCGGAAGAGTAACATTAATTATTGTTGGACATTAGAAGTGTGTCATCAAGGTCATCGAGGTCCTTAACAAGTAAAATAATGATTTCAGTAATTAGTTAAAAGTAGAGTTGAGTGGACACCTGGATGTTCGGGTCTGTTGGGTTCGGCTGAACTTCGGAAAAAAGTCCGGGTTCGGGATCGAACTTGACCCCGAACCCGAACCCCATTGAAGTCAATGGGGACCCGAACTTTTGGGCACAAAAATGGCTCTAAAAAAGTCCTAGAAAGGGCTAGAGGGCTGCAAAAGGAAGTAAAATGGGAGTAAGAGTAGGATACAAGTAGGATGCAAACAAATGTGGATAGGGAAATCACTTAAAATAAGAAAATACATAAAATAAGCAGCCGCTTAGTAGATAACTCCCTAATTCCCACGGTATTAGGGAGCTATCTACCAAAAGATTACTTAGTATTAGTAAATTCAGCCCCCACTCGCTATGACACGAGTAGGGATGTGTCTAGTAAACAGTGAGCAGCCTGTTGCTGGTCACTGTAAAAAAAAAAACTAAAAAAAACCTATTGCCCCCACCCCTATGCAATGGATGAGAGCGCTAAATAAGAATGTGGTGGGGGGGACCTACTGTCCTCCCCCCAGCCCCCACCCCTGAGCAGCGGGTGGGGGCCCTAAATAACAAGGGTGGGACCTACTGTCCTCCCCCCCGGCCCCCACCCCTGAGCGGTGAGTGGGGGTCATAAATAAGAATGTGGGGGGGGACACCTAATGTCTTCCCCCCAGCCCCCACCCCTGAGCGGTAGGTGGGGCCATAAATAAGAATGTGGGGGGACCTACTGTCCTCCCCCCACACCCCCACCCCTGAGCAGTGGGTGGGGGCCATAAATAAAATTTGGGGGGGACCTACTTTCCTCCCCCTGGCCTCCACCTCTGCCCGGTGGGTGGGGGCCCTAAATAACAATAAGGGGAGGGATCTACTGTCCTCCCCCCGGCCCCCACCCCTGAGCGGCGGGTGGGGGCCCTAAATAAAATTTTAACCCCCCCAGGTGACTAGGGGTCCCCAAAAAAAATAACCCCTACCTACCCCCTCACCCTAAAAATAATGAGGGGGGGACCTTTAACTAAGTACCTGTAAAAATAAAATAAAACTTACCATTTGATGTTTTCTTTCTCCTAAAATCCTTTTTTTCAACCCCAAAAAGGCCAAACAAAAATCCATAATAACTGACACACTTAAAAATAAAAAAAATTAAAAATGAGCACAAAAAAATAATCCATCTTCACCCATGGAGGGCTCCACGCAGACTGAGCTCTGCAGGGTGGGGTAAGGCTTATAAAGCCTTGCCGCACCCTGCAATTAGGCTCAGAGCACTCTGATTGGTGGGTTTAAGCCATCCAATAAGAGTGCTCTGACAGGTAAATGAAGAGACTGACAGGTAAGTCTCTACATTTACTTGTCACAGCACTCTGAATGGTTGGCTTGAAATCCACCAAGCTCTGTGTCCCACGCTGAGTAATTTGGCTCATTACAACACTCTGATTGGTGGATTGAAAGTAAACAATCAGAGAGTTATGAGTCAAATTACACAGCATGGGAAAATTCCAAAGAACTTTCCTACGCTGTGTAAAATGACACAGAGCACTCTGATTGGTGGATTTCAAGCTAACCAATCAGAGGGCTCTGTGTCATTTTACACAGTGTGGGAAAATTCCAAAGAACTTTCCCACACTGTGCAAAATGACACAGAGCACTCTGGTTGGCTGGATTTCAAGCTAACCAATCAGAGTGATCTGTGTCATTTTACACAGCGTGGGAAAGTTCTTTGGAATTTTCCTACGCTGTGTAATTTGACTCATAACACTCTGGTGATTAAGTAACCAGAGTGTTATGAGTCAAATTACACAGCGTGGAAAATTCCAAAGAACTTTTCCACGCTGTGTAAAATGACACAGAGCACTCTGATTGGTGGATTTCAAGCCAACCAATCAAAATGCTGTGACAGTTAAATGTAGAGATTTACCTGTCAGTTTCTTCATTTACCTGTCAGAGCACTCTGATTGGATGGCTTAAACCCACCAATCAGAGTGCTCTGAGCCTAACTGTAGGGTGGGGCAAGGCTTTATAAGCCTTTCCCCGCCCTGCAGAGCTCAGTCTGCGCGGAGCCCTCCATGGGTGAAAATTGATTTGCGTAAGTTATTATGGATTTTTATTTGGCCTTTTTTGGGGCTGAAAAAAGAGAGTTTAGAAGAAAGAAGACATCAAATGGTAAGTCTATTTTTTTTTTTTTTTACAGATATTTAGATAAGAGTCCTCCCTCATTATTTTTAGGATGAGGGGTGTAGGTAGGGGTTATTTTTTTGGGGTGTGGGGGGTTTACATTTTTATTTAGGGCCCCCACTGCTCAGGGCTGGGGGCCAGGGAGGAGGACATTAGGTTCCTCCCAATTTTTATTGATGACCCCCACCCACCACTCAGGGGTGGGGGGAAGGGGAGAGGACATTAGGTCCCCCCCCCCAATTTTTATTTATGGCCCCCACCCGCCACTCAGGGGTGGGGGCCAGGGGCGAAGGACAATAGGTCCCCACCCCCCTTATTGATATTTAGGGCTCAGGGGTGGGGGCCAGGGGGAGGACAATAGGTCCCCCCCTTATTGGTATTTAGGGACCCTACCCGCTGCTCAGGGGAGAGGGCCAGGGGGGAGGACAATAGGTCCCCCCCTTATTGATATTTAGGGCCCACACCACTGCCACAGGCTGCTCACTGTTTAATAGACATGCCCCTACTCGCGGTAAATCGAGTAGGGGCATAATTTAATAATACTAAGTAACCAGCTTATACAGAGGCTGGGTCACATGCTGCACTGGTCAATCACAGCAATGAAATTAGTAGGCATGGCTGTGATGGCTTCTAAGGGCTCACGAGTCAAACACTTGTTGATTGGCTGCCCTGCAGCCTTTCAAAACGCGTCATTAAATCGGCGAACACCGAACTCCAACCCGAACATACACTGATATGTCCGTGTTCGGGTCCGAGGTCCAAAAAACATAATGTTCGGTACGAACTTTACAGTCCGGGTTCGCTCAACTCTAGTTAAAAGCCTATGGGAATCAATATGCACTCACCTGCCATGTGGGAAATATGGGCATATTTGTTTAATGTTCAAAAATATTGACTACAGATAATTGCTGTCCATTTACTGAAAAGCCCATGGGAAGGCGTCTGTTAATCAGCAGGAGAGAGGTCAAAGTCTCTCTGGGCAGCTGGTGGGGGACATTAAAATAAATGATGGGGGGGTTGACACCATGGTTGACACCATGGTTCGTTGGTGAGAGCTATTATAATATTTATAAAATAAGGGATGGGGGGAATATTAAGAGTCCCCCATAGCCCCCACCCATTGTTACAGACTAATCAGAGTGCTCCGACAGCCAAAAGCATCACTTCTCTTGAGACTAGCATATCAGAGTAACAGACTTCTCAGAATAGGCTTACTGGCCAGGCTATCAGAGTTATATAGCCTAGTGTAGGAAATAAATGGTATATAAAAGTCTTTCTAAGGGTTTCCTCTGCTATGAGAGTTCTGTCTGCAGCGAGACTTCGCAGCGTGAACCTTATTTTTATTGTGTCAAGTTTTGTTTATTTTGTTGTTTTTTTATTTATTTGCACATTTTTATTTTTTATTTCTGTTAATTGCATTAAGAATTATGAATTTTAATTTGGCATTTTTGGAGCTGAAGAAAAGAAGAGTTAAAAGAAAGAAGACATATGTATATATGTGGGGAAAAAAACAGGATATATAAATTTAAACAAGGAGTATGATGAGGCTTACAGAGGTAGTGAAGGGCATAACCCTTGGAAATGAACAATGAGAATAGAATAGTGAAGATTATGAACTCCAAACTAGGGGAGCCAAAATGCTTCACTAGAAATATGTCCTAAGTAAAAATCAATGTAAGATAATAAACTTTATTTAACAGAAATATATATACATAAAGGATACAGCGTGCAAAAAACAGTGATCAAAGTGAAATAAAAGACGGCTGTGATTATACCATAGATGTAGGTATTACCACTGTAGACTCTACTTGTTTTAAATGTGCTGACTACAAAAGTAGCAGTTTGTATTTACTGATTACAGTCGATATGTTACAAGTATAAAAAGTAACTAGTTGTTTTCCCAGATGAGAAATACACAGGATTGTCTATGTTTAACAGGAAAGCATAAAGGGAGTGAAATATAGGGTAATCAAGGGTTAGATCCAAGAATGTGGTGTGTAGAAAACTGGTCAGATAGACTAATGTAAATATATGAATGATCTTCAAATATCACCAAGTTTATATCACTATGACAAAAGTATTATGGGGGGTGGGGGGGGATGAAGATAGGGGAAGGTCGGTATACTTCCTCCAATATAAAGTGTATACTTGATTGGAGGGAGATGCAGGCAGTAAAAGCTCGATAATATAATTCAAGTGCTCGCTCAATCACTCCACTGCTAGTAGAATGGTGTGTCTTTGTACAGAGAACACTCCTAAACAATCAAAAAGGCAGTGTGAGATGTTTTCAATTAGGAAAAGAGGTGTCAATTGTATACTGTTAGTACTGACTTAATCTTTTCCCTTAATCTTGGGCTAAGTATTGTCCCTATTAGGGTGAACACTCCAAATAGTAGGGTAAAAATATTGAGAAAGAGATCTTGGTCAGCGCTAGTTTATCTCACCCTTATTGGGGTTAGCTATAATAAAGTGATCCAGCCCTCTGTTTGGTGAAATAATAGTCCCTTGCAGATGTTGAAAATTAGTAAAAAATAATAATAAAAATATAGCTGAAGTGATCAAACAGTGCAAGATCGAATCCTCTCCTATATCTCAACGTACAGTACTCTCGAGCGGACAGGCATATAACTAAAGACCACCCAAGTAGCGACAGGAGACGGTGCTTCTCCAGCTAAGGGAAAGTAAACTAAGGAGTCATCCATACAGGTAGGTAGCCTTGATAAAGTACAGCAATGGGACAAGGAGCCCAAACAGAGGAGAGGGAAAGAAATATATGTATATGAGAAAAAATAGGAGAAATTCCTAGCTATTCATAAGGCTAAAAGGTAATCTCTAATACTCCTGCTACTCCAAAAACTAATATCTCCTCCCCACCCCCCACCCCCCCAAACAGCACGAAATCAGGATCAGTATGCAGTCTAAACAAGTGAGTTAAAATAAAGTATCAGCTTCAGAAGCCCGACGTGTGTTTCGGTGGTAACTCCACCTTTCTCAAGAGCTAGTAGCCGGCATTCACAGAGAGACAGTTTATAAGCGTAAATAGGTCTCGCCCTGGGGTATGGGGGATCCAATCTAAGGAGTACCTCTAATTATGTTATCGGAACATTTCATTCCTTCCAGATAGAGGCTCCATTGCGCGTGTGTAGACACTTGTAATTTTGCCAGGCCGGTATGTGAGTTAATCTAGACATGCTGAGTTTTTTTTTAGTTTTTTTTTTACATAAGGAAAACTCAAATCAGGAGTAGTCTCCTTCTAGTGTTTTGCGCATGTGTAGATACTTGTGATTTTGGCAGCCCGGTATGTGAATTAACCTTGACATGCTGAGTGATTCTATATAGGGAAAGATGAATAGTGGTCTCTTTCTAGTACTCTAGTGGTATGAGAACAGGACCGCTCAATTGTATATAGATATCTGAATAGATACAGTCATATGTATAATAATGAATGAATGTAATCCAGTTGATCATTCACCTGATCATGTAACCTGATATAAATTACAGGAATTTAAAAAGAAAAGCATAGATCAAAAATAGATTTTTTTCACAATAAATATACTTATATATAAGTGGTCCTTAGTTTACCAATTTGACTTGTAGGACTATTGTGTGGAAGGTTATCCCCCACTGGTGGTAGTCCTAATTTCTTAGATATTATATTTAGAGAATGTAGTGGAATCAAGGTATCTGGGTAGCCTATAATAGGGAGAAGTATATGAGTATCATGATGGGACCTATGGCTCGGTGTGGAAAGCTAAGTGATAATATATTGAGAAATTGAAAAGAGTGGTATCCAAGTAAACAAAGAAACATAAAATAAAGTAAAGTGTCTAAAATCCAGTACACTAATAGATGTAAAAGATATAATCGCCGGTTTTAGCAAATCAACTCTGAACCAGAGAATTATGGAGGTGGTAGTAGAACGGATTCACTCTGGTATAGGGAGAATTATGAGATGAATGGGGAGAAGGAGAAACCTTCATTGAGACCCTGAGGTTGGAGTGTCTTGAGTTTGTAGATCTATTTACATTCTCTCTGTCTTAAGGTTTTGTCATAGTCACCACGTCTCTGTTCCCTTTTTACCAATTCCAATCCACAAAACCTCAGACCTTTCGGGTCACCTCAGTGGTGTTCCTTAAGGTGTCTAGAAATAGATGTTTCAAGTCGATATTTGGGGGTCCTGACATGTTCCTAAATTCTCTCCTTGAATGCGCAGAATATTTTACACACATACTTCAGACTGTAGCTGCAGGTCAAAAAATACACTAAACCCGTCATATTGCAATTGAAGAAATGTTTTACTTTGACAGTGTATTGTCCCACACTATCACTGACAATTTTGGATTCTCTCAAGATGTATTTGCAAGCCAAGCATCTGCCACACCAATAGGTACCACATGGAGGATTACCCAACCAGGTCCCCAATGAGTGTGGTTTGGAAGACAAATGGCTTGGAACCAGAATGCCGCATATATTCCGGCCTCTTCTTGCCGTGATGTCAATATGCGGACCGAGAACATACTTCAGGTGTATGTCGTTGAGCAGGATTGGCAAGAATCTGTGTAGATAATTTCTGACCTCATGCCACCCTGAATCGTATGTGGAAATCATACGGATGATTTTGCTCTAGTGTATCTTTC